AATAGTGTTTTAAGAAAGTCCTTGTGCTTTTTCCTTTTATATTTCTCTTTGCATTCTTTTTTTCTCTCATGTTTGACAAATTTAAAACAGGAATAAGTGATAGCAAGTGTTATTACTGTTAAAACAACACATCTTCTGACTACCAAATAGGGCTAGTTTGTAGTAAGGCAGTGCTGATAAATTAGGTGCTGTGTAGAGTTCAGCTAAAGCAAATGAAAATAATTTATCAGAAAAACAAAGAAAATCAAACACTGAATCGCCACAGTTTTTGAGACAAGAAAATCAATCAAAAGCTCTAGGAGCAAGTTGAACTCCACAGAGTGACTGTGGACATCTTGCGGTGAAGGAGTGTGTTCATTCTGAAAGATTCATAGCCCCTATTTTGTCACAAGTATTACTAATAGAGCAGCTTAATGACATATGACATATAGTTAAATATATGCTACAAAGGGAAGGTAAATTACATCTTTCAAAAACAGGAGGGAAAGGCCTGGGTGGTGGCGCACACCTTTAATCCCAGCACTCTGCAGGCAGAGGGAGGCGGATCTCTGCGGTGCAGACTAGTTCCATGTCAGCTGGGACTACATGATGAGACCTCTTCTCAAACAAAACAAAACAAGACTGGAAGATAGCATGCTGCAAGTGTTAACATTTAAAAAAATGCCTTGGTGAAACATGCACCTAGTTTTTGGGTTTATTTTCTTTATATTAGATAAGCCATGAGATAACAAAATTGTAATTCTGATTTAATCATTGTTAAGGAACAGTCACTTGTAGTGTTGTGATTTTACAGCCCCCACACTGTCTGTGATCCAGTGCTGAGCCTGTGGTAATATTCTGGATCATCCTTAGCAAATGTTCAAGATCAGTGTTTCTAAAAAGGACCCATTAGACATCATTTTAGAAAAGAAAATGTGATTGATTTTGATAAGAGGACGAGGGAGTTGGAGCAGAAGAATGCATGCAGGGAGGAATTAACTGGCCTAGCTCCCCTTTAATTAACTGACCTGCTGGTTTCTTTGGAGCCTTGTATGTAGAGGGAATATTGAAATGGTGACAGAGTTGATGTAGAGCATTGAAATTTAGATCTGTACTCAATTCCTTTAACATCGGGTAATCACTTGAGATTGCTTTATGACTTATACTGTATTGTGTTATTTGATGTCTTTTCTGCCATTTTGTTTTTAAAGAAACTGTCTTTGTCAGCAAATTAAAATTATAAAACTTAAATCAGTTGAACTAAAAAAATTATGGATTCTAAAATGAACAAAGAGAAATTAAGAGGTTATTAATGAGGGGCAACGAGGGCTTTATGATAAAGAGGCATTTTTCTAACAGCCATCACAATATGTAATTTTGTAATGCTTTTCCTTAACTTTCCATTCTTTAGTCTTTTTTAAAAAAATATTTTATATTTTTATTTTATGTGTATGAGTGTATTGCCTGCATGTATGTGAGTGCACCCATATCATGCAGTGCCACAGAGGTCAGAAGAGGGCTTCGGATTTCCCTGGAATTGGAGTTAAGGAAAGTTTGTAGCCGCCATGTGGGTGCTGGGAATCAAACCCGGGTCCTCTGCAAGAGCAGTCAGTGCTCTTACCGCTGAGCCATCTTTCCAGCCTCTCTTTAGTCTTTTTAACTAAATAAAATTGAATTGGTGAAATAAAATTATAGAAATGCTAGGATTAAAGCCTGTTTATGTTATCTTTGGCCTTATTTTCACAAATCAGTGAGTCTGGCTTTGTACTCATGTGGGTTCTCCGTGAGGACTTGGTACTCATGTGGGTCCTCCCTGAGGACTTGGTACTCATGTGTTCTCCGTGAGGACTTGGTACTCATGTGGGTTCTCTGTGAGGACGTGGTACTCATATGGGTTCTCTGTGAGGACTTGGTACTCATGTGGGTCCTCCCTGAGGACTTGGTACTCATGTGTTCTCCGTGAGGACTTGGTACTCATGTGGGTTCTCTGTGAGGACGTGGTACTCATATGGGTTCTCTGTGAGGACTTGGTACTCATGTGGGTCCTCCCTGAGGACTTGGTACTCATGTGTTCTCCGTGAGGACTTGGTACTCATGTGGGTTCTCTGTGAGGACGTGGTACTCATATGGGTTCTCTGTGAGGACTTGGTACTCATGTGGGTCCTCCCTGAGGACTTGGTACTCATGTGTTCTCCGTGAGGACTTGGTACTCATGTGGGTTCTCTGTGAGGACGTGGTACTCATATGGGTTCTCTGTGAGGACTTGGTACTCATGTGGGTCCTCCCTGAGGACTTGGTACTCATGTGTTCTCCGTGAGGACTTGGTACTCATGTGGGTTCTCTGTGAGGACGTGGTACTCATATGGGTTCTCTGTGAGGACTTGGTACTCATGTGGGTCCTCCCTGAGGACTTGGTACTCATGTGTTCTCCGTGAGGACTTGGTACTCATGTGGGTTCTCTGTGAGGACGTGGTACTCATATGGGTTCTCTGTGAGGACTTGGTACTCATGTGGGTCCTCCCTGAGGACTTGGTACTCATGTGTTCTCCGTGAGGACTTGGTACTCATGTGGGTTCTCTGTGAGGACGTGGTACTCATATGGGTTCTCTGTGAGGACTTGGTACTCATGTGGGTCCTCCCTGAGGACTTGGTACTCATGTGTTCTCCGTGAGGACTTGGTACTCATGTGGGTTCTCTGTGAGGACGTGGTACTCATATGGGTTCTCTGTGAGGACTTGGTACTCATGTGGGTCCTCCCTGAGGACTTGGTACTCATGTGTTCTCCGTGAGGACTTGGTACTCATGTGGGTTCTCTGTGAGGACGTGGTACTCATATGGGTTCTCTGTGAGGACTTGGTACTCATGTGGGTCCTCCCTGAGGACTTGGTACTCATGTGTTCTCCGTGAGGACTTGGTACTCATGTGGGTTCTCTGTGAGGACGTGGTACTCATATGGGTTCTCTGTGAGGACTTGGTACTCATGTGGGTCCTCCCTGAGGACTTGGTACTCATGTGTTCTCCGTGAGGACTTGGTACTCATGTGGGTTCTCTGTGAGGACTTCGTACTCATGTGTGTTCTCTGTGAGGACTTCGTACTCATGTGTGTTCTCTGTGAGGACTTCGTACTCATGTGTGTTCTCTCTGAGGACTTGGTACTCATGTGTTCTCCGTGAGGACTTGGTACTCATGTGGGTCCTCCCTGAGGACTTGGTACTCATACGGGTTCTCTGTGAGGACTTGGTACTCATGTGGGTTCTCTGTGAGGACTTGGTACTCATGTGGGTTCTCTGTGAGGACTTGATACTCATGTGGGTTCTCTGTGAGGACGTGGTACTCATATGGGTTCTCTGTGAGGACTTGATACTCATGTGGGTTCTCTGTGAGGACGTGGTACTCATATGGGTTCTCTGTGAGGACTTGATACTCATGTGGGTTCTCTGTGAGGACGTGGTACTCATATGGGTTCTCTGTGAGGACTTGATACTCATGTGGGTTCTCTGTGAGGACGTGGTACTCATATGGGTTCTCTGTGAGGACTTGATACTCATGTGGGTTCTCTGTGAGGACGTGGTACTCATATGGGTTCTCTGTGAGGACTTGATACTCATGTGGGTTCTCTGTGAGGACGTGGTACTCATATGGGTTCTCTGTGAGGACTTGATACTCATGTGGGTTCTCTGTGAGGACGTGGTACTCATATGGGTTCTCTGTGAGGACTTGATACTCATGTGGGTTCTCTGTGAGGACGTGGTACTCATATGGGTTCTCTGTGAGGACTTGATACTCATGTGGGTTCTCTGTGAGGACGTGGTACTCATATGGGTTCTCTGTGAGGACTTGATACTCATGTGGGTTCTCTGTGAGGACGTGGTACTCATATGGGTTCTCTGTGAGGACTTGATACTCATGTGGGTTCTCTGTGAGGACGTGGTACTCATATGGGTTCTCTGTGAGGACTTGATACTCATGTGGGTTCTCTGTGAGGACGTGGTACTCATATGGGTTCTCTGTGAGGACTTGATACTCATGTGGGTTCTCTGTGAGGACGTGGTACTCATATGGGTTCTCTGTGAGGACTTGATACTCATGTGGGTTCTCTGTGAGGACGTGGTACTCATATGGGTTCTCTGTGAGGACTTGATACTCATGTGGGTTCTCTGTGAGGACGTGGTACTCATATGGGTTCTCTGTGAGGACTTGATACTCATGTGGGTTCTCTGTGAGGACGTGGTACTCATATGGGTTCTCTGTGAGGACTTGATACTCATGTGGGTTCTCTGTGAGGACGTGGTACTCATATGGGTTCTCTGTGAGGACTTGATACTCATGTGGGTTCTCTGTGAGGACGTGGTACTCATATGGGTTCTCTGTGAGGACTTGATACTCATGTGGGTTCTCTGTGAGGACGTGGTACTCATATGGGTTCTCTGTGAGGACTTGATACTCATGTGGGTTCTCTGTGAGGACGTGGTACTCATATGGGTTCTCTGTGAGGACTTGATACTCATGTGGGTTCTCTGTGAGGACGTGGTACTCATATGGGTTCTCTGTGAGGACTTGATACTCATGTGGGTTCTCTGTGAGGACGTGGTACTCATATGGGTTCTCTGTGAGGACTTGATACTCATGTGGGTTCTCTGTGAGGACGTGGTACTCATATGGGTTCTCTGTGAGGACTTGATACTCATGTGGGTTCTCTGTGAGGACGTGGTACTCATATGGGTTCTCTGTGAGGACTTGATACTCATGTGGGTTCTCTGTGAGGACGTGGTACTCATATGGGTTCTCTGTGAGGACTTGATACTCATGTGGGTTCTCTGTGAGGACGTGGTACTCATATGGGTTCTCTGTGAGGACTTGATACTCATGTGGGTTCTCTGTGAGGACGTGGTACTCATATGGGTTCTCTGTGAGGACTTGATACTCATGTGGGTTCTCTGTGAGGACTTGGTACTCATGTGGGTTCTCTGTGAGGACTTGGTACTCATTTTCCCTCATTGCTGTGCATTCTCTTCCTTCAGGTGATTTCCCAGCTGAGGATCTTGAGCAGATCAGTAACAGCTGGTTGCAAGTTTGATCGAGAAATCTGGTCAAATGAGCTTTCTCCTGTCCTCAATCTCTGGAAAAAATTAAACCAGGTTAGTACCAGACTGTCCTGAATTTCTGTGAGCTATTCTGTCACCTCCAGAAGCTGTGTACCCACCTCTTCCTGAGTCATACAGGTAACCACATTGTGTACATGCCTGCTGGGAAGCCAAGCTCCTGATATCTTTGCTTCATGACAATTCACAGTAAAGTTGGTTTTCTTTACTCTTTTGTAACCAAATTTATACAAATTTTTAGTTTTCTCCTTTCACAATTCAGTTTCTGTCTCATTTGGTAAGGTTTGTTTCTTCAAGACATAGTTTCTTGTCAGCAGAATCCAGATCTGAACCCAGATTCCAACTTTAAAAAATGATATTGGCTGATCTGGACTTCCTGATGATTTTAAAGATTCATTCAGTTAAAAATGTATAAGTATATACAGCTACATATAATATGACTGTATCACATAGCTATATTTAGAGAAGAATATATTGCTTTTAATCTTCATTTAGAGAATTAGATTGAAATTGAATTATTTGAATACTTAGCTGTTGACCTCTTATTTAATACCAACCAGTGATTAAAGTACCTTTCATTGTTGCAAAGATCTCACTTTACATTTTCAAGACATAATCTGCAGTTGACAGGTATCTGTTGGAAACATTTTGTCTCTGAAATATGTAAGCTTCTTGGAACCAATTTCCAGAGGTTATGAGAGATTAAAGGCCATTCCATAGTTTTGTCCTTCCTGTAATTTCCTGTTTGAACTCTGAATTTGCCAAGGCCTTGCTATTTAAATTACCTGATATAACATCTGACCTTGAAACCCAACTTCTGTCTCTGTTTCACAAGAAATGTAGCCATGATATTTTTCAAGAGTAGCTCACATTCCTGGAGAGTGATCTTTTTACCTCACTTACTCTGTGGACTGCACTCTTTGAAATTTTTTATAATCCATACAGTGACTCCCTTGTGTGAAGTTCTCTAGAATGTGTGATCTAGTTTTCTGTAACATTCCTACTTCTATCAGATCTGATTTTCTTGCTTCCCCTTATCCCTCTGCCACACTAAAACACATTACATTCTTGTAATTCTGAAATTGTTTTTATTTTGTTACATAAAGAGGAATGTGGGACCTCAGGTTTAAATATAGATTATTTGTGCATTTTAGATCTATCTTAGCTTGAATGGGTAGAGTGTCTTTCTTGGGAAGGGAAATTGAAGTGTGAACATTGAGAAGCAGCGAGGCAGATACAGCTGGAGGGAGGACAGCTCACAGCAAAGTGGAGAATGCATACCTTTCTGAGAAAAGCAAAGCCTTGGCATCAGAATAATGAAAGGAAACCATTCTGCTTGGAGCACAGATAGTAAGACAGTAGGTGAGGAAGAGGGGAGAATGTTGCAGTCTGAATATTTGTCTTCCTCACCTCCAAATTCTGTGTGTCAGAATCCCAAAGTGATAGTATTTGAAGGTAGAGGCTTTGAGAGGTGACTGGGTCATGAACGTGGAGTCTCTGTGGGTGGGATGAGTGGTCCTATGGTTGTCCCTGACAGACCCTTTAGTTTCATGTGAGGACACAGCATAAAAATGGGCAAAAACAACTATTTGAACTCAGAAGTGGATCTAACTAGACATCCAGTTGCCAGGCACTTTTGTTTGGATTCCACAGCCTCTGTAGCCGTGAGAAATAAACTTCCTTTTATTGATAAACCACTTCATTATGCATTTGGTTATATCAGACAGAATAGACTAAGGTGATAAGATAGCCCAAGTTTTATACCATGTACAGTAAGAAACCATGAAGGAGATTCAAGCAGTTGGATAGTCATGATTCAGTTGAAGATTTCAAGAGGTTGCCTCCTCTTGCTGTTACAGAAGCACTTTTGGAGTGATCGGATAGGAAGGCGGGAGGAAAGAGCAATGCAGTTTTTGCTGTGATCTTGCTGCAAGGTGGTAATAGTTCAGGGTGCCATGGCAGAGCAGGAGGACAGAAATGGGCACATTCAAGTTCCGTATTGAAGGAGGGAGCTAAATAGCATGAATCAGGATGTGGGGATTAAAATAAATAGACAATGACTGGGTGGAAGTGGTGCCATTCACTGAGTCGGGTCCAGCAGGGCAGAGGCATTAGCATAGGGACCCTTATCTCAAGGAGGAGCTGGGGTATAAGTTTGGACATTGTATAGGTTCACATACACTGTTGTGGAGCTTAAAGGGGATATTTAGGACTGATCAGCACCTAGGGAGCATCATGTCATCTGCTAAAGGAGAGAGATAACAGAGGACAAGAAATGATGTTAGTGAGCCCTTCAGGGATGCCAGCATTTAAAATGATCATAAGAAGTGGAATGGCCAGACTTTTAGAGAGAGGAAGCAAACACAAAACACCAGAACAAGAACACAGAAGGTTCTGGTAGCCTAGAAACCTTGAGGAGAACCCTGCCCATGAGAAGAGCTGTCAACTCTGTCAAATAGCTTCTGAGAAGTTAAACAAGATGAGGATAGAATTGGCCTTTGGACTTTCACAATACAAGGTGGTAACCTTGACATGAAAATCTAAAGGTAGAATGAGGGGCCTGGAGATTAAATTGAAAGGTACACTAAAAATAATGTAGAGAAGTAGAGATAGTCTGGAAGACAGTTTCTCTCTAAATGCACTAAAATGGTAAAATAGATCAAGATACTGTATTAGATATGTTGTTCTTAAAAACAGAAAGCACTAGATTAGTTTTAGTACAATAGGAATGAGCCAGTAGATGAAGATGCTGAAGAATCTGGCAATGTTCATTAGCCACTCAAGAAAACAGAAACATGATTGTTGGGTAAAACAAGTGTGATAGATACAGGAAGTTCTTGTTTCTTAATATAGCACAATATTTTCCCATAGATTAAGGATTATTTACTCTAACTCCTCCTAGTGTAAACCCTCTGCAGACTTGATTCTGCCATAGTCCTTCTTGCTGCTGGCTACATAGAATTCCATTGTTTCCATAGTTCCCAGGATCTTTGCTTTGAAGTTTTTAGATTATTAGCTCACCAGGAATGTATAAAGTGTTTGTTTCCCTCTTTATGTATAGCTGTAGCTATTGAATTTAGCTTGCATTTCAATCCAACTCACAATCAAGATTCAGCTTTCTGATCCTTGGTATTTTTTAACCAAGTAGAGTGCTGTTGAGTGTCAAAACATCTTTGTTCCTAATTTGATGTGGAGACGTCCACTCTTCTTATAATGTACAAGGCATTTCGTTTAAGCACTGCGTAGCTCCGTGTCTGTCCTGCATTATGGGCATGCAGCCCTAGGAACCATTCTAGGCCATTTTTCACAAAGCAGAGGTAAGCATGGAAGAATATTTTAAGTAGATTCCTCTACCTTTAACATTTCTTCTTTTCTCCTTTTAAAACAAAATTAGAACTATTAAGGAAAAAAAGTGTTTAGGGTATATTTGTGAATGACTTGGAGAGACCTACTGATGTGTAATTTCATCTGAGAGATAAAATGCATTCACTAGTTGAAAAGATTTCAGAATCTAGAAGTTCCGCAATTGCTGCTGGAGTTTGCATTAGTACTGCTGACTTCTGGTTACTAATTTTGCTCTGCTGAAGATACAAACTGGGGTCTCGTGCACGCTGGTGTAGCACAGTGCTGCAGTGCCACACCCTTTTCCTTGTTTAGATTATACCTAACTTAAAAGCTTGTCAAGAGAAGCTTGTGATCTAAATGAGTTGATAGGGACTTGTTCTTTCTGAAACTTAAATTTCTTTAAGGGCAGTCTTGACAGCATAAGACTTAATCTGTATTAACTTTTATCACCTGAAAAAAAAATGATAGAATTTTCCCAACTTACCTAATGTGAAACTTGAGAAACTCTGAAGCCATTAGAAGAAAACATGGGCAGTACCCTACAAAATGTAGGTACAGGAAAGGACTTTCTACATCGAATATCAGTTGCTCAGGAATTAAAGTCAACAACTGACAAGTGGGATCTTATTAAACTAAGTTGTTTTTCTCACCTCAATTCAGACTATTTTTTAGCATTTAAAAAAATTATTTTATGATTATGTATTGCCTGCATGTAAGTGTACTCGTGTCATGCAGTGCCCACAGAGGTCAGAAGAGGGTGACAGATCCCTTGGAACTGGAGCCATGGACGGTTGTTAGCCACCATGTGAGTGCTGGGTCCTCTGCAAGAACAGCCAGTGCTCCAAACCACTGAGCCATCTCTTCAGCCCCTTAATTCTACACTTTAATATCTATAATAAATGTATAGAAACACATATGTTAAGGCTGGAGAGACGGCTCAGTAGTTAAGAGTACACACTGTTCCTGCAGAGGACCTAAGTTTGGTTCCTAGCACTCACATCAGGCAGCTCTCGACAGTCTGTAACTCCAGCTCTAGGGGAGCTAACACTCTTTTCTGCCCTCCATGAGCACCTGCAATCATGTGCATATACCCCTACATAGACATATGCACATAATTAAAAATAAAATAAATCTTAGAAATACATATGTGTAAGTTCTATATAATATGTAAATTTTATGCAATATGTATGTCTCACAAAATGATACATATAAAATGTGTTATGTATTAATTTTGTTAATATTTAATAAGTCAAAGCATATTTTAGAAGAACAAAAGCAAAACATAATGTTTTGGATTTGTCTTTATATTCTTTCTCTCCTGGATGCTAAATGTCAGACATTTTCATCTTCATGGTCAGGGTTGGAATCTCTGGGTGCATTTTGCCCTGTGTTTGGTTTAATTGTCTTCGTGTGCTGTCGACTTTGGGGACCCTCAGTTCTCTAATATCTGTGTAATGAGCCACTGTTAAATAATTAATGGGATAGATTACTTTTTTTTCCAACTTCAAAAAAAAGAATTATTGAGAATTTTATACATGCATATAAAGTGTTTTGATCAAATCCATGCCCACTCCCTCCCTTCCAACTCCTCCCATATCTCACATTCACTT